GGAATAACAAATAGACTCAAAACATAGTTGGCAGGTAAAATTGTAGGATTTGGTGACTGACTGGATGTGGATGTGAGATAAAAGGAGGAGCCCAGAATGACTACAGGACCAGGAGCTGACTTGGGAGGTAATGAGTCTGAGATGCCAGTGAAATCTCTACATCCAGGAATTCTGTAGCTATTTGGAAGCATGAATTTTACAGAGAAAAATCTGAGCTAGAAAAGAATATGTAGGAATCATTAGCATATCTGTGTCATCTGAGATCAGGACATTTTCTGAGCTCCTACAAAAAAAGTTATTTAGGAGAGAAAAGGGTCAAATCTGGAACGTTCTGAAACAGCAATATGAAGGGACAGAATTCAGTGGTTTAGGAGAAGCAGCTCATACTAGCTCTTCATAACACATTGTGAAATTTTTAGGATAATTTACTAGCCCATTGTTAAATGCAGCCATTATAAAAAATTAAAATGTATAGCACTGGCAAGTTTTCTCAGTGGTTAGAGCATTGGTCCATGGGCCAAAGGGTCACAGGTTCCAATCCTGGTCAAGAGCACATACCTGGGTTGGGGGTTCTATCCTGGCCCTGGTTGAGGCTTGTGCGGAAGACAATCGATAGATTTTTCTCTTTCACATCTCTCTCTCTCTTTCTCTCTCTCTCTCTCTTTCTCTCTCTCTGCCCCTCACACTTTACTAGTAATTTCCAGCTTTATAGAAATGTAGCAAGCAGTTTTCCCCCATGTATATTTCTGCTGTCATGTATATTTTATGTTTCTGCCCTTTCTCTCCGGAAGTTTCTAAGTTCCAATAAGGCTAAGCCTGTGTCTGTTTTGCTCTTTCTTTCTGCTTACAATACTTACTCTAGACCAGTGATGGCGAACCTTTTGAGCTCAGCGTGTCAGCATTTTGAAAAACCCTAACTTAACTCTGGTGCTGTGTCACATACAGAAATTTTTTGATATTTGCAACCATAGTAAAAGAAAGACTTATATTTTTGATATTTATTTTATATATTTAAATGCCATTTAACAAAGAAAAACCAACAAAAAAATGAGTTCGCGTGTCACCTCTGACACATGTATCATAGGTTTGCCATCACTGCATCCTATACATAGCTTAATATGCTGTGCATAGTTGCCTGAAAAGATACAGTCCCTCCAAAAGAGTTCTAAAATTACCTAAGAATTTCATGATCTAAAGGTCATATCTCTGTGAATTCTAGAATTTACACAAAAATTGGATTTAAAAAAAAAACAGGGTGAATGGAAAATATACACCTGACTTCACTTATCCAATGTTAATTACAGTTAACATGACCTCAGATCTGAAAGAATTTACCTTTATTGTATTTAAAATAATTACCTTATATCTCAAATACATTAGTAAAGAGAAATTAGTAGGACCAAAAATTGACTCCCAGATATCTTTTTCAGGGCAAAAGAAAACACTAGAAAGATTGGAAGACTTTAGGATGAAATTTGTTTTTATATTAACTTAATGCTTGAGACTTTTAGAAATTATCTTATACTTAAAAGAAAAGGTCTCATTCAGAACAGGTTTTACCAACTGGGATTTATTTTGGCAGTCTGAAAGTTGAAGAAAAATATTTTTCTTGATTGAGGCAAGAAAAGGTACTACGCATTCTAATTAGACAGGGAAGACAATTTTTTATCTGGGATGAAGCTTCATAAATATTGCCCTCAGGATTGATCACATCTCAGAGTGTCTCTAATTTTGAGGCAGGAGTGCTTGACTACCTGTCTGGCTTCTATGGAAATGCATTTCCCAAGAGATTTCCAACCTGGATGGTGAGCAACATTATTACACCTTCTTTTTTTAAGGACTATTAATTAAATGTGAAGATAACAGAGAACCTCTCAAACATTTTAATAGATCCCTGTGGGCAAACAATATTTCTTTTGGGTGGTTTCATTAATTTGCTGTTGTGATCCATTACATAAAGTTTAAACTTGGTTTCATCATGTTAAAGCAATGCTCTCAAATGATAAAGAAACCATTGAACTCTTCCAAGACAGATTACCCATTAAAAAAAAAAACATAGTAGCATGATCCATATAATTAATGTAAAAATTTCATTAGGAAAATAAATCATTTTTTCACCACCTCTTTAAAATGTCTAAATCCTCTAAAATAAGGGGTTTTGTCCACATTTTCTTTCTAATAAAAGGTACAAAGGAACTGGTTACTGTGTTACTAAAGTCAGAAGTAGTTATTTGTTATTTTATAGAGAGTTGGTAGACAAAGAACATTTTGGGGGGAAATTGAATTGGTTCCTCCTACCAAATTAACAGGAAATACATTATTTTAAGAACTAATGTGTATCTATCTCACATGCTGGTCCAATTTACTAAATGTATAATCCAATTAAAGTACAATATAAAAGCAAGCAAAATCAAAGAGTCCTGCCAGGTTCATAAATATAGTTTGGCAAGACAAGTAGAATTAAGGATAGTGAGGAGCAGATCTAGGGAAGGAGCCTGAAGTCTTGATTTACAGAGCTAATGAAACAGAATAAAGAAGGTGAAGAAGAGGAACAAGATGTGAAATAATAAAGTGATAGAGATTAAGTTGGAAAGGATCAATGGATGTGAGACAATGATCAAAAAAATCAACTTGGTATTCATTTTCACTGATTTAACTCTCACGTTTTCTTCGATTTTTCTGCTACCTGTCAGGTAACAAAAATCTCTGGAGGCCAAATGGCTGCTCTAAATGGGCACTGGTTCTGGCTCCGCTTCTGTAGACCAATCATGAACTGGCTAAGAGTCATTTCCAACGTAAGTGAACGAGTTCCTGATTCCCGTCCTGACAAGCCCACTCATTTTGAAGTCATTATTTCCAGTTTCTGCGGCCCCAAACTTTGACTTATTTTTGACTCTTCTCTTTCTTTCACACCCCACATCCAACCTATCAGCAAATTCCTTCAGCTTTAACTTCAAAATATTGTCAGAATCTCATACTCTCACCACCTCCAATCCTAACACACTGGTGTAAACTCCCATCAACTCTCGTCTGCATTACTGCAGGAACATCCAAGAAGTTGTCCAACTTCTGCCTTTACTATCCACTCATTCACTCTCATGATGGCATGTTGTGGGACTTTGAAATGAGATGCTTTCAATGTACTTCACAGCTCTTATGATCTGGCCTCTACTACTGACTTCAACTGATCTGGTCCCCTGACTTCAACTTTTCCATTCTTCACATCTCTCAATTTGTTTTATTAAGATATACTAGCCCCTTTATTTCCTCAAATGTCATGCCTATTCTCATCTCAGGGCATGTGCCTTCATTACTCTGCCTAAAATATTCTTCCTTCATATATTTGCATGGCTCAATTCAATTTTTTCCAGGTCTCTGATCAAATGTTACCTTTTAAAAAGACCTTCTCTGACCACTTTATTTATATCATAATTGGTTCCTACCCTTCCCCTTTTCTTTTTACTTCTCTATAGTATAGCAAGTCCAATGAGTTTAAAGTCTCTAGTTGAAAGAGCATAGCTTCACACAGTGATGCACTGAGAGATCTGTGCACCTCAGTAAATTTCTTGTTTTTAAATATATATCTATTCATTTATTTAAATTTTTATTCAGGTAGAGCATACATATAGTATAGTACACAAACTTTAAATATATATAGATATACTCAACTAGGAGTCACCTAGATCACAATGTAATATTTCCAGTGCCCACAAAGGGCTCTCATGCCCTTTCAAAATCTGTACCCCATAAAGGTAACCACTAATCCGAGTTCTATCTCTGAGTACTGATTGTGCCTATTCTTCTCTCCCCACCCCCACAGCTTTATCCTATATAATAAAAGCCTAATATGCTAAGTGTCCAACTGTTCAACCATTTGACCAGTCGCTATGATGCTCACTGACCGTCAGGGGGCAGATGCTTTGACCAGTAGGTTAGCCTGCTGCTGGGGTCCAGCTGATCAGGACTGAGCAGGAAGGGCCAGACATGCCCTGGAGCCCTTGGGAGGTCCCTCCCCTGCCCTGATCGATTGTGTACCACTGGGGTCTCTCGGCTGGTCAGCACCTTCTTGCAATCTGGGACCCCTCAGGGGATGTCGGAGAGCCGGTTTCAGCCCGCTTCCTGTAGGCTAGGCCAAGGGACCCCATCGGTGCACAAATCTATGCACTGGACCTCTAGTTGAAGTATAATTGACAATTAAAAACTGTACATGTTTATGCCAAAACCGGTTTGGCTCAGTGGATAGAGCATCGGCCTGCGGACTGAAAGGTCCCAAGTTCGATTCCGGTCAAGGGCATGTACCTGGGTTGCAGGCACATCCCCAGTAGGAGATGTGCAGGAGGCAGCTGTTCGATGTTTCTCTCTCATCGATGTTTCTAACTCTCTATTTCTCTCCCTTCCTCTCTGTAAAAATTCAATAAAATATATTTAAAAAACAAAAAAACAAAAAACTGTACATGTTTACATTGGCCAACTTAATGATTTAAGTATACATCTACACTAATAAAAGAGAAAAATGGTAATTGGCGTACGACGCTACCCTTTTCATTGGCTAATCAGGGGGATATGCAAGTTAACTGCCAACTCAGATGGCAGTTAACTGACAACAAAGATGGTGGTTAATTTGCATATGTAGGCACAATGCAGGGAGGCGAAAGGGAAAGCAGGAAGAAGCCCCCTGCCACTGACAGTGATCGGAAACCCAGGGGGGAGCTAAGAGCTGGGGGGCAGGGCAAAGGTGGCCCTGGGGTGGGGGGTGATCCTGCGATTGGAGGGTGATGGGGGTCAACGCCTGAGGGCTCCCAGTATGTGAGAGGGGACAGGCTGGGCTGAGGGACACCCCCCCACACACACACACCCAGTGCACGAATTTCCTGCACCGGGCCCCTAGTTGTAAAATAATCACCACAATCAAGACAATTAACATACTCATCACCTCATATAGTTACCAATTTCTTCTTTTTTTCTGTGATAAGATCATTTAAGATCTACCTTCTTATCAAATCTCCAGTATAAGATACAGTATTGTTATTGTTAACTATAATTACATTGTCATACATTAGCATTTATTCATATTGCATAACTCAAACTTTAGCCCTTAGCAAATTTTCAATGGTCAAGGCAAGAGTTCATATGGAAATATCTGTTATATACCAGACTCAAATTAGCAGTTATGAATACTTTCAAAGTAATCACATAAGTATTCTCATTGGTGATTTGTGGGATTAAAATAACCTTTGTAAAATTTGATTTCAGTAGGACTGCACCTACAGTTTGAAATACTTCAGCATTAAACACTTTCTGTAGAGGGTTTAAATTTTTCTGAGACTTTTTTTTCTCTAATTTGAAGCCTTAATTTGGTTGACAAACCCACTTCTTTCTAGTAATCCAAAAATTTTAAATCAGTCATTCATATAATGGGTGAAAATAATCTTGGTAGCATCTGTCCAAATTTAACTTTACATGGTGCTAAATCAATTTATTAAGAAGCAAGCAATCTATGTTAAAATTCTTAAAAAGAAAGCTCTACTTTCTTTTTAAGTGTTTTACTTAGAATATAACAAAAACACAAAATTGGATGCCATCATTTGCTTTTCCCATAAAATGAGATTTGGCTTATATTCAAATAAAATTCATGCACCATGGTAGTTAAAAACAAAAGGAAAGGAGGAGAAGGAAGATAGGTACTATGCTAATTAATCTAGGTGTTATCTCATGTAATTTCCTTAACATCCCTATGATGTGGATGTAGTTGTTCTACCCACTTTACAGATGAGGTATCTGAGGTATAAGATTTTAAAATGTGCTCCTGTTTTCACAGGGAGTTAGCAGTAGGCCAATTAGAACTCATGTTTATTAGGCTTCAAATCTTGTGCTCTACTACAGTCCTACTCTAAGTTTGTGTGTTTATTTAGATGACACAATATCTACTTAGAAAATATCACATACTTTTCTAGGTCAAGCTCAAATTTATTACTTTGAATAAAACCCTGATAAATTGCAGGAGTAGTAAGAAATTCAGTTAGGCAAAAAAAAATGAAAAGAGTTGAAAGGGGATACTGTTAGAAAAGAATAGATGGAGGCCAAAAAAGGGCTTCACATGCCAGGTTAAGGACTTCAGGTTTTACCTTATAAACCAATGGTTCTCAGATGTTAGTGTGCATCCATCAGAATACACCAGAGAACCCGGTACTATCCTCAGAATTTCCGATCAACTTGTGGCAAGAAAGTAAGAGATCAGGACTGACTCAAAGTCTTTAGCTTGAGAGGCAGGATAGACCATGATGTCGCTAAATGAGATGAAGACCAAAGAAAGTAGATTATATGTGGAGAACCCACTAAAGTTTGTTTAAACTTATTAAACCTGAGATGTTTAAAGGCAACACAGGTAATGGGCAGGTGTAGGCAGGTCAGAATTCAAGAGTGAGGGCAGGAGTAAAAATAATGAAAGAATACAAGACAGAAATGGCTGTTCAAGCTATAACCCTGGATGAAACCCATAGGGCTAGAGAATAACAAGATAACAAAGCAACAAAATGTGGAGACATTATTACTTAAGGGATGTGCATTAAACCAGTTACTAAAAAAATGAGGGAAGAAACTCGGAACTCTCAGAAATATAAAAGAAGAATACAGGTACAGTGTGACCTCTGAAATAAAAGGAAGGAAGAATGTGAAGACAGACTGTGGTTAGCAGCATCAAACGGTTTACAGAGAGTTATGAGTAGCTTTAACTTTTGATGAAGTTTTTCCCACCCAGAACAATAGTACCATCTATCCCATTAAATTGTATTCTAGTGGTTCCATGGAGCTGGGAACATGAATTAAGGATCTAAAATTAAAAAGTATAAACAACCCACTGTAAGGAGAGTGCTTTCCAGTATAACATACTGTCACTGTAAATTATTGTTAGCAGAGTGTCATAGGATGCAAAAAGAAGCTCAGAAAGCGCCAATGACCTGTCCTTGATCGTAGAGCCATGGCTGACTCAGCATGGAATCGAGTAGTCTGCCTTTTAATAAACAACCCCAGGTCCATTTAGGATTAAAATAAAACCCCAAACACTAATAAATGCATGCTAGCCAAGGTCCTGATTTTCCTCTTACCATCTGTAAAACATGCCTCTGGCTCATCTGATTTCACAGGCTCCGCCTCGGCCTCTTCTTCTGGCAGAGGGTTATCAATTGTGCTGCACTCAGAGGAACTTGACTGGTTCAGTTTCTAGAAAGAAATTTACCACCCGCCAGAGAATTCATTTAGAGTTCATTCAAATCTTGCACTTAAGCCATATTTACTAATCAGAGTCATGCAAACTGTTATGAAAAAAATATTAATATGATGGCCATAAAAACAAACAAACACACAGAATTCAAGTAACCTTACAATGCATTTATGTTTGATCTATCTACACATCCTGTGAAAAATAATTTTTACTATTTTTATTATGCTAACAAGTATTTAGACATAATTAGCATAAGGTAATATTTCCATGTAAACTATAGCATTTGAAAAGTATTGGCCACATTTTTATTGTGCTTAATGGGAATTTCTTTATACTAATAATTATTATTTCAGGACAATCAAGATCCTAATAGCAATATCAAACAAGTGCCAAATTGCTGACACCTGATAATTGAAAGGTCAGATCTGACAGTTGGCAGAAAAAAATTGATATTTAAAATTGATAAAAAGAAAGAAGTTAATGTAAAATAAAATTCAAACATATTTCCTCATATTAGAATATGTATCAGGATGATATAGATAGAAGCCTTTCAGCGAGACCAGAAAAGTCAAATATTATATTGGAATCAAGACACTAACGACGACCATAGTAATTATCTCATCCAACACCACACATTTTAGTATAAAATTTCAGAGTGTAGTGCTGAAATTTTATAGTATAATATAGTAGAAAAGATCATAAAGTATCATTTAAAATGTCAAGAGGTAGTGGCTACTAAAGTGAGCACCACATGCAAACTCTGAAACAAAGATTTAATGAAATTAAACATGGCAGACTAACACATGAGAGGAATGGATTCATTGTCATTATGATCATATAACTGATCATAACACAAGCAAGTTTTTCCCACCCAGAACTTTATGATCAGACATGATGTTTACACATATACACATACACAGAAATTTTAGGAAAAAATACATACAGCAATTGTTGCAAAACTCTGTCAATTTTTTCTAATACTGTTTTATAAGGGGTAGAGCAGCACATCAATGGAAGAGTTCATTTTCATTCTCATTTGCTAAATAACATGTGAATATTGAAAAACTACTCGTTATTATAGCATATATGTCTCATATTAAGATTACGGCTTTTCTTTGTTTAGACTCATTAAAACATTCAAGTGCTAAAAATGAGGAAATATTTATTTCAGTTGATTAATTCTTTAATCTATTAATTTGCATTAATATCACAGGTCCAATCTAAAATATTAATTTTTAGAGATTGACTTGGAAGCTAAGTGTTCTTTATGGGTACCACATTAAATTCTCAGTGCTAGTATTATCATCACTCAGTATTCAACATCAGTGGAAAAGTATTGATCATTGATAAAGTATTGTATATAATGAATGATGTAAGCAAAGTTCTTTTTATAATGGGAGTAAAGAATTGTGAATACTCTGTTAAATTAACACTTGAAATCCATGTTGGAATAGAGGCATTATTTCTATCAGGCCAAAAAGTTATACTAATATCAATTATGAAGAGTATCAGAATAAAATTTCACTTAAAAAGCAGGTTACTTAAACTGATTGAATTCGTCTAAAATTACTGTAAAATAAAGGACATAGAAATTAATTATAACTAAATATTCTGTAAGACTTAAGGTTATAAAACATACACTACCCCAGGAAACAATGGGAAAACTTATAATTACTAATATGTCCTATTGTGCCAATTATCACAAAAACACACAACATTTTTACTATATCTAAAAGACTACTAGTACAGTTATTTGATGTCCTCAGTTCTTGACCTCTCAGCTGCATGTGACAAAGTCCTTCAACCCTGAAAAAGAATTAGTAGCCTGGATTTTGAGGCAAAGCTGTGGGAGGAATTAATGATGGGAAGAATACAAAGCCCCTTCCTGCTATTAGTCAAAATATTGATAACTAGGATATCATTATGTTTTTTTTCTCAGCTGGTAACTTTTTATTTATTATTATTATTATTTTAATTTCTATTTATTGTTGAAAGTAATACATATGTCCCCTTTTTTACCCATTGACCCCTCCATCCTATACCCCGCTCCCAGACCCTCACCACACTGTCTTTTCCCATGAGGTATGCATACATGCATGTAAGTTATTTGGTTAAGGACTTTTAAATTAAAAATGATTCTGACTTAGACTAAATCAATGAATTCTGACTTAGACTAAATCAATAAAAATATTTTCAACTTCAATATTTTATTTTCTCACTGTTTAAAAGAGCATCAACAAAGAAGACTTATGCCAAGTTAATTTATAATCAAAAGTAAAAGTTAAGATGATTTTGTGGGGTGTATATTGTCATTGAAACCTTTCCCCCCCCCATAATTTTTATGGCAATTTTTTTGTCAATTAAATTCAGAGTTTGGCTCAGATTTTATATCATAAATGAGAGTTATTAAATGTTATTCTTCACTGGAACAGAAATTATCAAAATATTGAATATGAACTACAAATAATGTATATCACAAGACAAATTGTCATGGCTTTTTGAAATGTTAAGTTTAGAATGTTTTTAAAAAGTCAGTGTTTTTCTGGGAATGCATTAAGTATTTACACAGTAATTACACAGCAATATAGGACAGTTTAGCTTTTCAGCCTTTAAATTCAATACTTATGAAAGCATAAGTTTCTTTAAAGGGTCCAAAAAGGATGACTTTAAATAGGCAAACATGTATAATAGTTTTCTCTTGAAGGGAAGTTCATTTAATTCTCATAGCATGCATTGTTAGATTAACTATTGAATCTTCTTTTATTCTTGTTTCGTGCACAGAGAAGATCATGTCAATAATTTGTATAATTTTATGTAATTAATTAAATAATTATGTTCATACCTATAAACTCAATCATTGGTTATTTAGCTCCCTTTCTTATAATTTTGGAATGGAAGAATGATTATACTATATTAAAAGCAGTGAAATAAATATAGTATGAAAATGTTCCACTTTGATATTATAAATAGGCCATTTTGAAATCTTTATGTATATTTATTTATTTTTTTTGCTAATTCTCACCTGAGTATATTTTTTCCATTGACTTTTTTAGAGAAAGAATGGAAAAAAGGAGGAGAGACAGAGAGAGAAACATTGATGCAAAAGAGACACACTGACTGGCTGCCTTCTGTACACACCCTAACCAGGGTGGGAGATCCAGCCTACAACTGAGGTACCTGCCCTTAACTGGAATTGAACACATGACCCTTCAGTCTGAAGGCTGGCGCTCTAACCATTGAGCACTGGCTAGGGCTGTAGATTTTATTTTTAATAAAAAGTGAAATATACTTTTTATTACTTCTGCTTGTAAACAAATTTTTTTTATCTTTCTCAGTCTCCATATAAATAAAAGTAAGTGTAAACATAGGACCATAGAGGCAGACACTAGCATAAGGAATAGGAAGTATGCCATAGTAGTACTCTTGGCTTTTTACTGAATAATGATAATGAATGAAGGTACTTTGTAAAATGTCATTCTCCACATTAAACCTATATACTTGAATTAAAAATTTTAAATGTATGACAGTATATAGTAAAAAATACCCCCCATAGACACACACTTGCCTGATTCTATTCCCTTGAGGTGAACTGCTATACATTGTGTGTGTGTGTGTGTGTGTGTGTGTGTGTCGGGGTGTGTGTGTGGTAGGTTTATAGTTGTTACTATGGAAGATAATACAACAATTAATAAATAATAATACAAGATTAAACTCGTTCACATACTCACAACTGTAAACCTACTTTTGCCTCATCCTGGGGCACATCTTTTCATATTCTTCAGTGTGCATCCATCAGACAATGAAGTAGTTTGGAAATGTTCCTAATCTTCATTATACGCTTAAGTAGCTATCTAAGCAGCCCCTTTCAATGACTGAAAATATAATCAAGTTAAAAACTTTATTATTTTTCATGATTCTCCTTTTGATTGCCTTGCAGGTGTATTTTCTACAACACTGCATATGAGTGGAGACTGTTAAATATAGGTATCACAGGAGAAATTTCCCTAAACTGGTCACTTAGAAATTTATTATTCACACTTCCTGAGAGAGGCAATCACATTGGAAGACTATTTCCTGTTAGTCTGGATAGTAGTTAATGCCAGTTGGTCATTTCTTGTTTTGAGAGGTATGAAGTAGAATTCGCTAATAACCTGATAATCTGGCCCTTAAAAGCAGAAAACCATCAAACTTATAGGAGCACTGAAGAAAACAAAACTCAACAACCGCCTATTCAAAGAGAATGGCTGGCAAACATCCCAAAGAAGTTACAAAACAAATGACAAATGGGTAATTAAGGACTGGAACAGAGGCAAGCATGACGGCAAAACACGAAGTAAAGACTCACCTCATTAATATTATTTATACTTTTAACAAGACCAGAATGACAAACAAAAAAAACTACCTATACATTTGAATGACTAATGCTATCTCTACTACTCAGAATGAGGAAGGACAAGGAAAAAAAGATTCCAATAAATGAAACAATTACCAGTTTTTCAAATATGTGAATTTCTAAAGTTGAAAGTACAATATAAAGTGAAAACTGGCACCGATAAAACATATCTTTCCTAACCTTTATATAGGCAGCTTCTGCCAAAGAAAAGTAATACATTTTAAGACATTCTCTATAACTGAAATATCCAGAGAATGACCATTTGCTGGCATGTACCTCATGTTTTCTAACAGTACTTTGGTAAAAAGAAAATAGTAATACTAATTTAGGAATTAAACACACCCATTTATTTTTGGAAACAGTTTTCTCAAAAACTGTGTTTTACCTGTATGTATGTATGTATGTGTGTGTGTGTGTGTGTACACACAAATATAGTATTCTTTATGTGTGCATATGTTTTAGGTTCCAGGGGGGAGGAGGTTTACTATATTATGAAATAAAATTGTTTTCTAAGAGAATATTGCCTCTAAATCCAATCAATTCGAAATAGAAAAATATGTATTTTACTCAGGGGCACCTTTAAAATTAACTTCAAGTAAACTTGAA